ATTGTAACGTGTGGTCATTGTAACGTGTGGTCATTGTAACGTGTGGTTCTTGTAACGTGTGATCATTGTAACGTGTGGTTATTGTAACGTGTGGTCATTGTCACGTGTGGTCATTGTAACGTGTGGTTCTTGTAACGTGTGGTCATTGTAGCGTGTGGTCATTGTAACGTGTGGTCATTGTGACGTGTGGTCATTGTGACGTGTGGTTCTTGTAACGTGTGGTCATTGTAGCGTGTGGTCATTGTAACGTGTGGTCATTGTGACGTGTGGTCATTGTGACGTGTGGTTATTGTGACGTGTGGTCATTGTAACGTGTGGTTATTGCATTGTTGCTTGCAGGGGAAGGCAGTTTGTCGGACCCGGCCATGACAGCCCTCACGGAGATTTTCCACAGCTGCTTCCTCTGTGAGCACACTCTGACCTTCAGTGACCCCAAGCAGGACTCTGGTTACATCTGCCTCACCAAGGACCAGATCATGAGTCAGAGCCCAGGTACGCCGCACTGATGTTAGACGCAGCGGCAGTTATAGCATCAAACGTAGACCCGCCGTCTGCAGAACCTTGTATCTAGACGTGTGCATTTGTGTGTGCTTGAGTGTTGGCTTTGAGCATCTATCCTATGCATCTAAATGCCATCTAATCTTATGCACAACCATGTACAACCAACCATGTTCATGCATGTTTATGAACCAACCATGAATCATCCATGTTCGAACCATGAATCAATCATGTTCGAACCATGAATCAACCAACTATGTTTGGACGCATTGCAGGAAACCTTATGTACGCGTTCTGCGCGGCAGTGCGATCGCCAAAGAAAACACTGCAGGAGCAGGTCAGCTATCTACTAAGCACATACGGCATCACAAAACATGAGTGAGTGCAGCATTCAGAGTGCCACGCATGCTCAGTGCAGCGAGGCAGTGTAACTGTGGCAGGTTCCTTTATAGTACTATATATTTCATAAGTGGCAGTGTTGTTTTCCAGTTCTTGTTAATTCACATCACAATTTTGCATGCCCCATGTCCTGGTTCAATTCTATTCCTGAATCATGAATACATCCGGTATTTGCCGGTTACCACTTTACCCCCCTGTAAATATCTATTCTTGTGAAATCATTTTTCAACTCAATTCAACTTATTTTCACGTTTACTTTCACTTTAACATTCAGGTCTCAGGCCAGCAAAGACGGCCGGACAGTGGTCAAGAGACCGGGCAAGCCCATGAAGGAGAAATCTGGCTTTGGTCAGAAGTATGTCGTCGAGGTCAAGGACAGGAAGATGAAGGTCAAGGATGTGACCTTGGAGAAGCAGAAGGAAAACCTGATGGCAGTCGCTGCGGGTGAGGGCGCCACTGAGGGGCAAAAACGTGTGGCGATTTGAATTTGTTTTGATGCTTGTTTCTTGTCAAATATATTAGTGATTGTGTGTATTAGTGCACTATGAATGACTGGATGATGTGTGGTAGATTTCACAGTAAGAGTGGTAATGCATCCGTTTTTGTCTTACATTTAGTCTTGCATAGCGTTTATATGAGCCTTACGTAGCTTTATATTAACCTGATATAGCCCTATAATCGCCATATAAAGCCTTGTGCTAGCTTTATGTCACGCATATCTTCCTATGCCTTGCAGCAAGGAGAGATACGGGGAAAGAGGGCGAACGCAGGCTATTAACGCTGGATGGCCTGGCACAGTTCGTCTGCGACAAGGCCAAACTAGACTGCAAGGTCATCTGGAGGGCATTGCTGTCATGTGGCTATGACATTCACTTTGACAGGTATATATATATGTGTGTGTGTGTGTGTGTGTGTGTGTGTCGTGGTGCGTGTGTGTGGTGTGTGCCCTATAGTCTACACTTGCGGCGAGATATTGCTAGCATAGTTCATAGATTTGAAATTGCGTTGAGCTGTTTTTTGTATTGGAATTGTTAATCCATGGCATAAAAATGCTTCATCCTTAAAAATAAAAAAATATAAAAATATAACACCGTGCATGCGGTCATCTCTTCTCGCAGGTTTTCGTGCATCGACGTGGCGAGCGGTC